CTATAGGTGTGCTGGGGATTCCTTCTTCCCAGGTGGAGTACCTTACATTTGTCTTTATTAAATTGCATCCTATTTCTCTCTGACCATTGATCCGACCTGTCCAGATCAGCCTGAATCTGCTCCCTGCCCTCCGGTGTACTAACTTTGCCCCATAACTTGGTATCATCAGTGAACTTGGAGAGGGTGCTCTCCACGCCCTCATCCAAATAGCTGATGAAGATATTAAATAATATCAGTCCGAGGACCGAACCCTGTGGGACCCCACTGCCCACCTCCCTCCAGGCTGAGAAGGAACCATTCACCACCAGAAGGAACATTTGTTCAATGTCTTTATTAACAATCTGGAAGATGGAATGCTGTGCACTTTCAGCAAGTTTACAAATGACACCAAGCTGGGGGGGAGTAGTAAATACACTGGAGGGTAGGGCTAGGATTCAAGGACACCTCAACAAACTAGAAGATTGGACCAAAATAAATCTCATGAGGTTCACTAAGGATGAGTGCAAAGTTCTGCAGCGGTACAGGCTGGGGACTAGCTGGCTAAACAGCAGCTCTGCAGAAAAGGACCTGGGGGTTACAGTGGACAAGAAGCTGAATATGAGCCAACAGTGTGCCCTTGTTGCCAAGAAGGCTAATGGCATATTGGGCTGCATTAGTAGAAGTGTGACCAGAAGATCAAGGGAAGTGATTATTCCCCATGTTGGGGATTGGTAAGGTCATATCTGGAGTACTTTGTCCAGTTTTGGGCCCCCCACTACAGAAAAAATGTGGACAAGTTGGAGAGAGTCCAGTGGAGGGCAACAAAAATGATTAGGGGGCTGAGGCACATGACTTGTGAGGAAAGGCTGAAGCAACTGGGCTTATTTAATCTATAGAAGAGGATACCGAGGGTTGATCTAATAGCAGCCTTCAACTACCTGAGGGGTGGTTACAGAGAGGATGGAGACAGAATGGCCTGGAGGGCTAAATCTCACCTGCAGGCTGTGTTTTGCCCACCCCTGGTCTGTCTGGCCTGCAGGGTCCCTCCATAAAACAATTATTACCGGACAATGAAAGCTGGCAGGAGGCAGGCTTCAGAGTTCATACACCATTGGCCTGGGCAGACTCCGTGCCTTCACCTCCATAGGTCTTCTGGCACTCCAGCTGGAGTCCCATGTGGAGGCACCGAGTATAAAGGTACATGACTGGACAGCTAGTGAATGGGAAGAGAACTCCTGCCTGCAGGAGGTGTGGGCCCCCCTGCCACATGCCCCTCCACCCCCCCACACACAGCCCATGCCCCTGGTGGCAGCAGCAGCAGCTGGTGGAAGGCCCTCAGGGGGGCTCATGGTCCACAGCAGGAAGACTCCCTCTATGATGTATGGCTCTGCCCAAATCCTGGGAGCTGCATGTGATGGTGCAGAGCCCACCCAGCCCAGCCCGTGGCCATGTGTCTTCAAGACAAACCTGGCTGGCTCTGTGTCATCACATGGTGCTCCCGACATTGCAAGCAGCAGTTGTGTGCCATCAGACTGGGCTGGGCTGGGCAAGCTCTGTGCCTCCATATACAGTGCCCCACTGGAGTGCTGGAAACCCTATGTGCTGGCACAGAGCTAGCCCAGCCCAGGCTTATGGCACGTGGCTCCTGCCTGCAGTGCTGAGAGCCCCACATGCTGGCATAGAGCCAGCTTGATCCAGGTCCAAGGTGTGTGCCAGCTGGCCGGGCCAGCTGGGCTCCATGCTGCTATGTGAAGCTCCAGGAACTCAGCTGTAGCCACGTGCCACTGTGGGGCTCTGCCCACCACTGCCAGCAGCAGGGGCTATTCACTGGTGGGGGGGCATGTGGCAGGAGGGCCCCCACCCATCCCTGCAAACCCACCCATACTCACCCTCACAAAGCCCATACACAGCCACACACACTCCCACACCCCCTACTTCCCCCACAGACTCCCTATACCCTGTACAAGCCCCCCACACCCTTTCACAACCCTCCACACACAACCCCACACCTCGCACATACACACACACACACCACCACCCCATCCACACATAATATATAGGAGTAAGACTTTATTTTGAGCTATTATGCAATTATCTCTATATACCCTGTGCAAATGCATGTAAATTAGGACACAAATATTTTCTGAAATAAAATTAAAATGTTATAGTAGTTGTTTGATTTTTAGTATTTGGGTTTTTTTCTGGTTCCAAAATAGCAAACCCCACCTCCCAAAAGGAATATTTCTGGTGGCAAGGTGGGGGGCTTCTGGTGGGAAAGGTCAGGGCTTAGGGGTGGGACTTTCAGTCCCAAGATGGTGAATAGGGGGCAAACCATCTGTCAAGGGGCAGGGCTACCCTTGAGGACCTTGACAACTCACCAAAAATCAGTAAGCAGCCCTCCAGCCAAAATAATTACCTACCCCTGAGCTGGACCAGTCTTTTTCAATCTTTTTTCATTTATGGACCTCTAAAAATGTCAAATGAAGGTGTGGGTCCCTTCAAATTGTAAGTGTGGGTATTCACATACTTTTAATTGAGCATAGTCATATTTTGCAACCCCCTTAGACAGTCTGCAGATCCCCCAGGGGGTCCATGGACCACAGCTTGAAAGCACTGAGCTAGACTGTTCTCAATGGTGGCAGATGACAGAACAAGGAGTAATGGTCTGAAGTTGCAGCAAGGGAAGCTTAGGTTAGATATTAGGAAACACACTCTCACCAGGAGGGTAGTAAAACACTGGAATAGTTTACCCAGAGAGGTGGTGGAATCTCCATCCTTGGAGGTTTTTAAGATCTGGCTAGACAAAGCCTTGGCTGGGATGATCTAGTTGGGGCTGGTTCTGCTTTGAGCAAGGGGTTGGATTAGATGACCTTCTGAGGTGCCTCCCAACCCACATTTTCTGATTCTATGAACTAACAGCAGCTCTCATGGCTCTAATCCAGCAAAGAACACCCCATGCAGCATGCACCTGCATGGAAGCTTACTGTATGGAGAAGGGTCCATCAGTGTCCTTAAACACCTTTGCTTTTAGATGCCCAGACAAAGAGCTGTGTGTCAAAAACCCAATCGCTTGGGCTTGGATTTAGCAGAGGCAGGCAGGTGAGTCTTGCTCTCCCTGCAGTTACTAATTTTGCATACACTCTTTTCAAAACTCTTTCAACTAGAAGTGAAAATAAAGGAATAAACTTAATGACCTTTTCTATTTTGCATTACGTTACTTCCAAGTCACCTATGTAAAAAGAATCTGATGACATCAACTATCCAACTGCCTATCTTGGACATTTTAGTATAGAATGTGATGGAGTCTTGCTGTCCCTGCAGTTACTAATTTTGCATACACTCTTTTCAAAACTCTTTCAACTAGAAGTGAAAATAAAGGAATAAACTTAATGACCTTTTCTATTTTGCATTACGTTACTTCCAAGTCACCTATGTAAAAAGAATCTGATGACATCAACTATCCAACTGCCTATCTTGGACATTTTAGTATAGAATGTGATGTGAAATGAACAACTCAGGTAGCTCCAAGAGGTAAGGAGGCCAAGGAAGTGATCCCAATCAGCACAATAAACATAGCACATCAGCTGCCTAAACAATGCAGAGAGTTGGAAACAGGGCATTGAAAGGGAATGGCCTTCTTTTCCCTCCCACTTTCTCCACACAGCTAATGCTTATAATTAAAGTCACATTTTGGTAAAACTGCAACTATGATTACTTTTATCATGCTTCAAGTGATGCATGGACCTATTTGAAACTGTCTTGGTACTAGGAACAGGTGACAGGAAGGGAACCACATAGGTCATCAGGCACATATTTAAAATTGTGGTGTTCAGGTGTTCATCCACATAGGTAACAGCAGCTGAGTAGCAGTATCCCTGGTTTGCAGATGGGGCTTAGACAGGTTAGAAATTGGCTTGCTGATACTGTATGACTGGTCCCTATTTTTGCCATTAATTCTGCCCTCTTCTTCATATTTTGGGATGGAGAGGCCTCTTTCTCCAGATCCAGGCTGCATGGGCCTAGCATTAACACGGCCCATCCTCCTCCCTTTGCATCTCGAGAGAGTCCAGAGGGGAGCCACCCATATGAACAAAGGCCAAGAGAGCAAGCCTTATAGAGAGAGGCTGAGGGACATGGGACTCTTCAGCCTGGTGAAGAGAAGGCTCAGGGTCCTATCAGTGTATAAGGGGGGTGCATCAAGATCTGGGAGAATAGTTGTTCAACAGGGCTCTCCAAGGGATAACTAGGTCTAACAGCCACAAACTTCTAGAAGGCCAATTCAGACTCGATATAAGGACAAACTTCTTTACAATCCAAGTGTTCAAGGTCTGAAACAGACTCCCCGCAGAGGTGGTGCAAGCACCTACTCTGGACTCATTCAAAAGGCATTTGGATGTTTATCTTGCTGGGATCATCTGATCCCTGAAGACTTCCTGCCTGTGGCAGGTGGGCTGGATTCGATCATCTCATGAGGTTTCTTCCAGCCTCTAATGCCTATGAAATCTACAGCCACTTTGTACTTTCTAGGGTATCTTTAATCATCCTTCACCCATTGAAGACTTTTCTCATGGTATTTTCCACAGTGGACCCTCACGTTCCGCTTTGGTGCAGTATTACCAAACAAAGGTGGAAGAACCAATATAGAACTTCCCCCCCCTCCCACCCCCCACGTGCGATTTCTCTGCATCTGCACAAACCCAACAGATGGGCATGGGGAAATGTCTGAGGGGCCACCACATGCATGATCTGAGTTGAGAAAGCCCATTGTCCAGCTTCCTTTCCTCATGAACTAGCTGAAGCCCCTGTTCTGTCCAAACAAACACATGTGACTAGTCCCAGGATTGGGGCTTAATTGTAGCCTGAGCTGGTTCACTGCCCTCCATTCCCTAATAGTTCAAATGAGGCACCAAGCCAAGTCACCAACTTAGTAGGCAGGACAGAATTGCATCCCCACCCTGCAGTGTCTGCACCCTGGCAGCAGAAGTAGTCCCATGACATGGCTCATGGCAGCAGCAGCCAGATACAGACCCCATGGTACTGCTGTAGGGGCAACAGTTAGGAGTGGGCAGACTGTTGTTGAACAGAGATGTAATGAAGCACAATTTTGGATATGCTTACTGTCTAGCTTCCTCTTGAGAAAAGACATCGCCTCTGTATAATAGAAGTTTGATTTTATCTTACTCGGGATTTCCAAAACTCCAAGTTCCCTTTTTGGAGAGAAATAAAAAGAGCCATTCGGACTGCAATTGCTTACAGCAGCTAAGAGAAGCCAAGATGAAGAGCCTGGCTACAGTACTGGTAATAGCTCTGCTTGTCAAGAACCTGATTGTCCTGGAGGGTGAGTGACTTCTCATGTTTTTTCTTCACTTTGAAGAAAATCTTTTGAAAGCAAATCATACAACAATTTCCATTCTCCCCACCCCACCCCCAATCCAAATATAAGCCCCAGCACTCTTTGACCCATATACTATAGACCTCCCCACACTGTTTCAGCCCAAATTCTTCAAGCTGCCCAGGGCAGACCAGTTCTTATACCCATGGAGGGTTCTATCTATGTTCCAGCTTATGGATGGCATCAAAGCAGTGCCTGGATATAATGTTGGTCTATGTTTGCAGGATTAAAGTCTTTATTTATTACATTATACTTCTACAGTTTGTTGTGTTAATGTACTCTGCAAAACAGTAAATGTTATGTGTGTTCACATGCTAAAGTACATGATGGTCCAACCATTTACAATACTTCTCATTTTAATATTTTTTCCTTACCAGGTATGACATGGACTTCCTTTGAAACATTAAATGCCAATGAGCCATATGACACTGAATTGTTTTAATGACCTGACTTTAAATATTAGCTGCCTTGAAATTATAATCCAAACAGTATTCAAAAATGATTAAAATTCTAAAAACTTTGTAGTTCTTCATGTGGGGAGCCAGAATTGATATTTAATTCTCAGCCCCCTCATCATAATTTTCTTCTTTCATTAGGTAGCTCTAGTCAAGGAATGACTATTGGACTATTTTGGCTTAGCTATACTGACCTGTCTTTTTCTCTGTACTGGATAAAACAGTATCAAACTTGTTTGCCTAAACCCTTATAAAATTTCCATCAATTCTGATTGAATTTGTCTCTTGTTAAAAAGAGTTGTATGAATTACTTTGAACAAGAAATTTAAAAGGCTAAGTCTTTACTCAGGTGAAGAAAATCTGGAAGATCATTATATAGGTCAAGAGGAAAGGTAATATATTTTATTGGACTAACCATGTAGCTGGGAGAGATGTTAGCCAAGGAGTGCTCTTCAAATCTAGGAAACTGATGTCAAACCTTCGCCTCCATTTTTATTGTCTACTGCAGAATAAAAGTGTGCATTGTCATTACATCACCATGCTAATACTTGTCTTCCATGTTTGGTTGTTTGCCAAACAACACTAAACACAGAGTTAAAGATTGATCCTTACTACTGTCAAAGTCAACTGGAGTTAATAAAGAAAATTTAAGTCTTTAGTAACACTAGGAACACTAGGAAAAGTTACTCTGTTGAAAGCTTGATAGTGTAGATAGCCTTTTTGGTTCCTGGCAGATGTTTTGTTAAAGGCCACACTTTCAATTTAAGGCACAAATGGAACCAGCCACATAGTAAACATATTTTGTGTAATAGCTTTGTGACTTATTCTCTGTTATACTGCACCATTAATTCAATGTGTGACTGGGTTACTTCTTAACTAATTAACTATTAAATATCTGGTTAAACATCTACCAGGGGTCTTATACGCTTAAAGCAAAATTGAGGCACCAGCAATATTGGCTCTGATCCTGCAAAAGTGAATTCCCTGTCTTTTTCTCTGCACGGCAAATAGTCCTATTAAGGTCAAAGGCACTAGCCACTCTCCATAAAGTTAAATGTGCTCATAGGTCCTTTAACTTTACGGAGAAGTGTGGAATCAGATTCCTTCTTCTTTCTTGGGGTTACCTTTTATGCTCTGTGATTACTATACTAAGGGCATGTCTACACATGCTTTTATGTGTGCTAAACTTAATGCGCAGTAAGGCGATTTAGGCACGCGTCTACATGTGCATGCACTAAGGTGCATTAGTCCCAAGTCAGTCCACACACCACATTAAAGTTAGTCCCAGGTCAGTTGACTTACACAGCATTAATGCTCCTTAGCACGTCTACACATGCGTTAAGACACATTAAGGGCATGCATGTGTAGACCCATGCCCTTAATACACTTCAAAAGAGGCTTACACTTATTTTTCATGGTAAGACTAAGGTGTTTACATACGTTAGCCAATAAATTAAAACTTTTATTATTGAAAATATGATAAGCTTAACCAAGATGTTATAACCTTCCATTTAGTAACCTGTCTCTAGTGGGTTATGGAATAGAGAAAATCCCACACAATTTACTGATTCGTTTTGATGCACTGGCTGGGGGAGTAGTTAGCTGATTGCACGATTTCACAATGATTACACACTTAATTTATACAACACAATTTTATTTTAAAACTCTTTGCTACGTATATAACACTGCTTAGCTTTAAGAAACACCACAAACATTAAAAACACAATAATTACATATATCAGAAACAATGCTCCAAATGCACTTCCTTCCCAAACAATGCTATAAGAATTAGTGTTACAAAAACAACTACAATTACAACTAAAAGTTAAATTTGAATCAATACTGTTATTTTTCATAATATACTTACAATCCTAGAATTCCGAGAAGCCAAATACCAAAATATGGTTTCATTCCTCAGTAGTACGATTCAATGGGTTGGCCTCAGTAGTACGGTTCAATAGGCTGGCCTCAGCAATACGATTCAATGAGCTGGGCTCACCAGTGATAGGACTATGTCCCCTTCCTTCAGTCCCTTTCGGGCGCTCCGCGGCTTCAGCGTGAACTAAGAGATTCGTGTTCACGGAGAGGCTTGATTAGGCGATCAATCTAATCTGAACTTACACTTGCGATTCTTCCTTCGTTGTTCTGCAAGTGAAGTCACCTCCAAATTGGGACAGTAAGTTACAGGTTTTTATTGAGTGAGCTGCCGTCATCGGGCTCCTCCTACTCAATTCATTATAACTCCCAAATTTGGGCTCGGATCTTACTCAACAGAAATTACCTTTGTTGAGCATTTTAAAATTATTCTTGGGGAGACTTCCATATCACTGTAAATACTCTTTTCTTTTTACCAGTCTGGTTAAAAGGCCCCAGGCTTTGATTTCTCGGAATTTAGGACATTTACTTTCTTTGTAAAAAACTTCTAAAGGTACAATTTAGATTAAGGTTTTAGGCGAAGTCAGGACATTTCGCACGTAGCTCCAAAACAATGAGCTAGATAAGGAGATAGATCCTATCTTCTTCCTGAAACTGGCTAATGGGCAACCTTTACAAACATTCAAACTATTTCATTCAATATGACATAACCCTTTAAATAATTTAACACAGGAGATGTCTAATATAGCAGAAAGAAATATTATACAAGGAATTCAACTCAGAAGAACTGAAGTTAAAAAATGGAGCCAGTTTGTAGGAAAGAATTTTAAAAGTATCTAAGGGATTTAGGAACTGCTGATTAACAATGTCAAAAGTACCCAAGCCCTGCTTTCAAATGCCCTTAAGCACTTCAGAGACTAATTCACATGGATTTAGGCTCTGCATTTGCATGGCCAACCCCAATTTTAACTCCCTTCCAAGCCTGTTTTCTCTGTCCCTAGATCTTCCTTTTGTTATTTACAGGAACATCATATCTGGAGTGAAGGTAACCTTCACAGTTTCTTCTGCTTTTTAAAGTATCTGCCTTCCAGTCCTTTAAGTTACACCCTGCAGGTGGTTTTCTGCACCCCCATGGAGAATGCAAGATCAAAGTGTTGACTAGCTTACATTTAAGCTGACTAGGTAAAAGTCCTAGTCATATGACTGATAGCACCTGGGTCAGCTACTGCGCCTCTTTGGAATACCATGTGTCCACCCAGCCCTGCATAAAATTATTTTCATTACTTACTTTGATAACTGCTTTTCTCGTCTTCAACCTTCTCCCCCCCACCCCCCTCTCAATTTTAGTGGTGGAAAACGGTGGGTTTTACTATGGTGCGTTTGGAGGGCTTGGTTTTCCTTTTTTTTTTTTTTAATAGGAGAGGAGTTCACACAGACAAAGTGAATGTTTTGTTCAATGCTTTTGGACACAGGTCTGCCTTTGGAAAGCCTTCTCACTTACCACAGATGCAAGTGCCTCAAAGAGACCTCAAATATCATCAGACTTACAAGCATTCTTTCCATCAATGTGATGCCTCCAGGGATTCATTGCAGAAAGAAGGAGATAATGTAAGTGGAAAGCCCAGAGACCAATTATATCAACTTCTGCAAAGAAGTTTTCTTCCCACCATTTAGTTACATGAAGAATTTGGACAATCTACTGTCTCTGTTTATGCATCCCTTGTCTTGACTAGAAGAGGAAGAACTTCCCCTTAGAGTAGTATGAACTGCTTCTCTTTGCCTTACAAGAAACCACATTTGAGAGGCAGGGTACTGTATTTTCTCACATACAACACACCCCAGAATAAAATATGCACTTTGTTTTTTGAAAGGCAGAATGGAAAAAGGGGTGTTTCCTTGTAGTAAGTAACAGAGTAGCAGCAGCTAAGGATTTTTGCCTTCTCATTATCCTGCTTCCTGTGAGGTTGTGTGCAGATTTTGCTTTAACTTTTGCTTGTAACCAGTAGACAACTTTTTTGTTTGTTTGGGTTTTGTTCTGTTTTGTTTTTGGGGGGGAGGAGTGTGTGGTATGTGAGAAAATATGATAATATCTGTTATTGGACTAACTTGTCTTTGACCCTCTCTTGGCTACATCTAGATTAAGAAACGGTGTATTAAAATATGTTAGGCCTTATCTATCAGGGGATGATCCAAGGCTAGCCACACAACTCTCTTGCCTCAGCTAAAATTGCCAGATTCTGTAATCCTGGGCTGTAATGGATCCATATTCTTGGTGGATTCAGCACACAGGGAAATGAGTAACGGACAGCTGCCCTGTGGCTGACATCTACACTGGCTTAACTGGATTAAAGACTAATTCAGTTAAAACCAAACCTAACTTACCAGTGTAGCCCTGAGTATATTTGCAGAGCTGTACCCTTGAGCTAATTAATGGTAACTCACGTTGAAAGCCAGGTAATTCAATGCCCTGTATGCCTTTGCCCACAATTTGGCTATGCCTTTGCTGAAAGTTACTGGGTCCCCCCTGCTGCTGCTATGGCAGGGGTTTCAAATCCTCCCATAAGCTAGGCACTCCATGGAAATCTCTCTCAAGAACCCATAGAAGAAACATCTGTCTTGGGAAAGGCACAGAAGCCTGTCAGCTCCAGATTCAGACTGCCTTCTCACTTCAAAGCCTGCAGGTTGGCAGCAGGACTGAAAGCAGGACCTGGGCTCTCATTTCTTCTCCCCTCCCCAACTAGCCTGGGTTAAGAGCACCACCTACCACAAATGAAAGGGTTGTGTGTGTTGATGGGAGGGAGGTTAGAGGCAACACCTGAATCAGAGAGAGTTAACCCTGAAATGAAGACAGCTTTTGGTGTCAACAGCACATGACACTGAATGCTGAAATTGTGGCTGTTGCCAAGGTTGGGGGAAGCTTGCAGTTCCATACAGCCTCAAGCCTGGAGCCAAAAAGGGCATTGGAGGACTGCTCTTCTGGCTCAGTGACTTTCCTAGAAACAATATTATGCAATACTAAAAGGATCCCCTTATATTTCAGACTCACATTGAAGGGGGACAAGAAAGTCTGTGTGAATCCTAGTGCCCCATGGATCCAGGCATTGTTGCAACACCTGACCCAAAGGTACTGTATATCCAGCTGAGTCAGTTACTTTTGGTAAGGGAAGGGCACAGTCAGAAAGAACCATAGGAATATGTATTGCGTTTGTGCTGGTGATCAACAAAAGTAGAGCTAACTGAGAGACAGGAAGGGGTCTTTCATTTGCAATTTTAAAATTCTGAGAGAGCAGGAAAGTTTATTTTATGAAAGCTGCTTTCCCCCCGTTGTTGCTCAGTGTTTAGAGAATCTAGCGATGCATCATATTTTGGCACCTAAGATTCCATGTACAATGTTAAGCCACTCTTCACTTCCCCTGCAGAACTGCCTGCATGGTGCTACTGAGCATCATTAAACAAACACCTGGAGTGCAGTTGCAGCCTAGTGAAGACATCTTGCTGTGGCTCCAAAGGTGGAAGCCACATTTATGCTGAAGGTTGCCTCCCATCCACCCAGTCCTAGACTGGTTCTTGGTCACTGGAGCTGGGGAGTTGGAGGTGGTCAGAAGCAACACAAGCCATATTACTCTGCTGCATGCTGTTGGCCATAGCAGCTGGTGTGCTTTTATTATGCCAGTCTGAAGAGCTGTTTGCCATGGGTTGACCTTTGACACTTTTTTGACCATTCAACACACTAGAGCAGATTTTCATTCAGACACACTCTGAAGTGCTGTTTCTAGTTCCCAGCAAATGACTTTTGTATTTGTATAATTTAAAACAAAGAGTTTAAGGGATATTCTAAAATAATTTCTCTTTTTCTTAACACAGGAAAGCCCTCCAAAACAGTTCAAAACAAGTCATGTATGCATTCTGACCAGGAAAGCCGATACAGAAGAAGCACTCTTGCTAAAAGGGACTGATAAGCCTCCTTTGGAGAGTAACATTTAAAACAGGGGTGGGCAATTATTTTGGGCAGAGGGCTGCTTACTGAGTTTCGGCAAGCCATCGAGGGCCACATGACACGCAGCCAGGGGCAGATTAATATTATTTTTTTAAATTTTTAGGGGCCCCACAGGCCAGGTAGAATGGCTTAGGGGGGCCGCATCTGGCCCCCGGGCTGCATTTTGCCCACCCCTGATTTAAAAGGGTTCCCAGCTATTTCTGCTTCATCATTATGCTATTGTTTAACTTGAGTAAGCATGTTTAAAGGCTGGAGTTTGAAACTCTGTAGTTATTAGTTGTTGCCCTTTTTGACATCAGAGGAAGGAGCAGGGGCTGACACCTCTTACTGCAGCAACAACAATGGGGAGTTCTGTCTTGTGAATGCTAATTAGTCCTTTTGGAATAAGGATTGTGAAGAGCTTATCTTTCACATGTCACAAGGAGGAATCTCCCTATTCCTGCATGCATTAATTAGGAGATATTCCATGGTACCTTACAAGATAGGGTAGAGCTCATCTTCCTCATGTCTGCATGATTGGATCACTCTCCCTTTCTACTGTTCATACTCTTTAAAGCTCTATGTCACTGTGCTTGTCTCTACACCCACCCTTCAACTCTACCCAACATTTCCATCTGCTTGTAAGCATCTTAAACCCTTGCTTGCATTCCTTCTTCCACATAGCTCCCTATACATGGTCTGCCTTCACCATGTCCAGCTGCAAGATCTTAGGCTTGCTATTTTACATCCTTCTTAAAGAATGACTTCTGCTATGCTGCTGGTAATAGAGAAGAGCTCCTTTCTGGTCTGTCTGAAGGCATGCTATAAGCTGTGTGTGAGAGGGATGTGGGCATTAGCCTGAGGCACTGTCAATGCTACTGTATGCAAATAGCATGGTGACATGTCTTACTGAAGCAATCATTCGAGTGTGAGGCTGTGTCTACATTACAGGGCTGCTGCCGTTTTAATTACAGAGGCCACATTAAAGTGGTCAGGCCCCTAGGTGCAGATGCAGCTCTGCCCACAAAAGGAGTTTCTCTCTGCTCAGAATGACAGAAGCTTGGCTGAAAGAAACCTCCTTCTGCTGTCAGAACCTGATCCACATGGGGGTGAGAGGGTTGCCTGCATGATTATGCTGAAAACAGGATGTGATCTTTCCACACCCCCAACCCAGTTGACGTGAATCTGCTGGAAGACCTTTGCAATGTAGGCAAAGGCTTAGGGAGTTAAAGATATCTATGAGAGAGCCCATTTTCAGGCCACATGATTTATCCAGATAACACAAACCCCCACACACAGACACATCTGCAATCTACTGGGTGATCAATAGATTAATTGTCTAAATCACTGGACAAAGCAGGGATAAAAAGAGAGGAATCCAGAACTAATTACCCTCAGGGATCCTTATCTAAAGTCCAGGAATTTTTCTCAATTGTGGAATTAGAAAGGAAAAACATGTTACTTTAGACCAAAGAGACTTCAGTCTTCCTATTCTTCAGACCACCTCACAAGACATAGTCTTTTATGGACCAATGGTTTTGCCCGTCTTCTCACTGTTCACACAGATATGCAAAGCTTGGTTCAAGTAATGCCATTTGGTGCACAATCAGGTAGGAATCCACCAAGTATGAACATCCACACCTGTCAGCCCCTGTTATTAAGGAGTAGTTGTTTGACTTTGTGCTACTTCTTGCCCTGGCTCATACATGCCAGATGAAAGTGAGAGGCTCTAGCAGAAGACAGAATTATTTCTGGAACAACTCACTGCTTTGCACTACAGAAAGTTAGTTCTGTCCTTTTTCTGTTTTTTCTTTTGCTCTTATTTTACAGCAGTATCTTCAAACTCCAGCCAGTACCAGGGCCCATTGGCACTAAGTGTGGTACAAAGATCATTTTGAGCTCTGTGCTATCTAAATAGATGAGACAAAGGATGTTAAGCAGGTAAGGGAAGATGCACTGCAGGTCAGTGCTAGAACGGTTCTAGAGTGGTTCTAGAAACAGGTGTCCTGACCCTGAATCCAGCCCTAAGCAAGAACAAATCCAATTGAATGCATCTGTTGTGCTACCTAAGCCTGAATAAACAGAAACCTGCTTAGGACTTTGTACCACTGTAGAGCTGGATTTGCTAAAATTTAGTTCACAAAGCATTGTATTGTTATGATTATGCTGTCATTAATGCAAAGATAAAGACTGGCTTCTTGTTTCCAGCAAGAGAGTCACCATTGCTGTCCTGTATTCTGATTGTGTACATTACTCAATAAAGTGATTGATATGCTTCACAGTACCAGATTTTAGAGTGGTTTCCATTAGGAACTTAAATGAAATCTTTGTCTTCCTCAGAAAAAGGGGGATTTGTGATAAGGTAGCTTGCCCTCCTGTATAAGCCAGGGGACTTCTCTGTAGTGATTCCTATTTGAACTAGAGTGCATGCTTTAGCAAAAGCTTCTGGTCTTAATTTGAAAGCTTCCAATTACGAAAACCAACTGGAACCTTTCATGAGTTATCCTAAGCAACACCCATTTGCACCTTATTTCTAATAGGAATGTGTCTAATTTCAGCTTCCACCATCAGCTATTGTTACATCTCTGCTCCACTGAAGGATCCTCTGTTATCAAATTTATGTTCCTCATTGAGGTACGTTTAGACTACAGTGAACTCAGAGTGACAGGTCTGCCTTTTCTTATTTAAGTTACTACACTGGTGCCCTTGAATCTAAGGCAGGCTTTCCAGTTCTTTAGGCATTGCCAAGGGCACTTCTCTGAACTCTCCAATTTACTAACCCCCTCTTGAACTGTGAATGCCAGAAGTTGGCACACTATCCCAGCAGTGGTTGCACCAGAGGTAACAGAACCTCACTTCTACCTGAGAATCACCTCTTCATATATCCAAGGCCAGTTTTAGCCTTTTTGGCCACAAAATTGCACTGGGCCCTCATGTTCAGCTGGTTCTCCTGGAAAGCAGCAGCAACTTTTAACAAGTCTTGGTGGTCATGGTAGAGGGAATCTCTCATACTCTTGTAAGTATGGCCTTCATTGATTGTTCTTGTACATGACTTGACCTTCGGCCATACTGATATGCATATTGTTTGCTGTGTATTGACCCAGGGAGTGGGGGAGTTTCTAGCATATTTCTGCACTAAGGAAAAAGGAGTTAAAAACCTGTCTTGGTTCAGTGACTAAGTATCACTCACCTGTTAATTTAGTATTTGAAAGCTCAAAGCAGTGTTAATGGATGGGTTCCTCTGACCTGTGTCACTGCATTGTGGGTAATCTCAAAGAGGAGATAACCTGTAGTAAACACGAAGAGAAAAAAGTTGATTCCAAAGCCAGATAGACTCAGAACAAATACATTTGGGGTAGAGCATCTGACTATAAGAGCAGGAGAGAATGTGGTCAGGGTAGAGAGCCTGAATAAAGGTCAGGGCATTAAGTTTTTATGGTCAGAGAAGAAGCCTTCCTACATGTTTTAGTTTGATAACATTATTACTGATTTTTAATATTGATTCTCTATTAATTTGCACATATTTCCTTATTGGAGCCTCTGCTCTACTCTTTGTTCTTTATAGTTTATTGCCTCAAAATGTCTTTACATTTTAGAATATACTGGAATTACGCTGCACAAATAACTGAGAACTCTTCCATCTTAGTGCCATGTGTACCAGCTGTCTCACATAGCTCCCATATTCAGCCTGTTAACATTGCTGCTAGCCAACTTTCAAATTCCTTGAACATCAATAGCCTTCTTAGAGGAGACAGCTGTCAGATTTAACCCTTTACACTCAGTAATCCCCCATCTCTCATATATGCCAGGTATTTAGGCAACTGTATGACTCCTGTTATATGTGCATATTTCTGATGTTTCTCATTGTCCAGCCAAAATGCACTGGACAAAGAGTTCATGGGTTATTGCCAAGCAAAAGATGCTACAGGAAAACTTATGTCTGTCCTTACCAGCTTTTAGTAGTCATAGTTTTGTGTTCTTCACCTGGAGCACTTTTTTGGTTTCAACCTGCTGTGAACAATGATTAATCCTGACAACACCCATTTCAGATAGGTACAGAAGGTATTACCTGCTCTTGTGATTTCCCTAAAATTTTACTTACTAGGGTGAAATTCTGGTATTGTGAAAGTCAATGGCAAAACTCCCACTGAGCTCAATGGAGCTAAGATTTCACCCATCCATCTTTGGATATTTTAACCAAGGAAGGAAATGGAAGCAAGGCTGTAGGCAATAAAAATTGCTCTCCCTTCATCCAGGGAATAGTGCTGCATTTTGAGATTGCAGGAACAAGTGAACAAAGATAGCCAAGACCTGCTGGATTACTAATGAAACCACCACTTCCCTTCATTACCACACTCGGACAACCAACTACAGCAACATCTGCACCGGTGCTTTATACAGTCCATTTATGAGGCAGCATTAGCTCAAACAAGTCCCAACATACCCCTCATGTTTCAGTCTTCTCGAGTAATCATGGGATGGGTTAGTCAGTTCAAATGGTTCTTTTGAAAGAGAGCTTAAAGTTGTTACAGGGCTTCTCTTAACCACAGAAAAGAGGCACTTAGTTGCAGCAAGGCTGTATCTCAACTCTTGAAGGGGGAAGAAAAGTGATAAAGTATCTGCTGTTGTGTCCATGTGAAAAAGCTCACTGGCTCCATAAATAAGCTACTTAGGTGTTTTTGAAAATGTTGATTTACATGACTTTGAAATCTATCCACCTCATCCCCACTCCACCCCACCATCTCTTGTAAGAAAGAAAATCTCTTCAAGTCCTTTTTTCTTCTTCCAAAAATCCATATGAAACTTTCAGATGAGATGGAGGGGAAAAATCCTGTTGAAAATGGACTCTTAAAATATAATAGTTAATTATGGGGAGAGTTTTGTGAAGTGCTCAAGTCACTTTTGGCCCCATGAATCCTGTTTCCTAGACTCAATAAAGTGCTTCTCTTACTTTTCCTGACCTGGGCCAGGAGCTCAAAATTGACCCTTCCCAGAAAAGCAGGACTGGCATGCAGATTTCATGCCTCCTAGATCAACCCTCCATATTAGGACCTTACAAAGACTAAGAATCCTTCTCAGGGTAAATGCCCCCATCCATATCCTTCTACTCTTCTTTCCATACACCCACCCATCCATCTGTGATGTCCAGTAGGAAAGAAACAGGTCTAGAGCTTCCAAGTCCTCTGGAGATGGGCAGGTCCTGGGGTTGCTCTTTCAAGTGCTTTTTCCTTTGATGGACAAGGTATCAAGACTGGAGATCTGAGCTGGACTAGGCCCAAGAAGGGGCTTCTTGCAGACCCACACTTTGATTGGAAATCCCAGGATGTGGCTTACTTAGGCTAACCCTCATCACAGAGGGACTACGTTCTAACATTGAATGTTCAAAGGGACTCTTTACCTCACTTTTGTGTTGGGTTGATATTGCTGGCAGGAAGACACTCTGGCACAATTGAACAGAAGCTGGACTGCTGAAAGAGCTTGTCCTTTTGTCTGTCCTACCCTTATGCTGGATCCCTGTCAGTAGCCACTTCAGCAGCTGCAGTAAGAGGCAAAGGAAATGCTTCAGTCAGCCAGGGCTGTAAGCACAGGGTCCAATGGTTGCGTGGAAAACATCTGTCTCCTTATATTGTACCTCAGCCTACAATGCTTCCTAATGAAAATAGAGGTGTGGTGCAGTCAACCTTTGTGCCAGGCCCGGGAGGATTTAGCTCCCAAGCTGCAGCCACTGATAGCTTCTTAATTGTTCTCCAGTTTAGGAGATGGCACTTGCCATGGCCTCAGTGCTTGAAAGATAGGGCCTGGGTCTCTGCAGAACAGGCAAATGTTTCCATGAAGGCAGCCAATCCATATGGAGCCTAGGAAACAGTGACAGTCTTCTTTCTTCTTTACCTTCTCTGTTAAGCTGCTGTCTAGGTAGATAAACAGATGGATAAACAGAGAGACTTAGGGGTAGAGAGAAAGAACAGGAGTCCTCTTTGCCAACAAGGGAAAACCCTTAGGCATTCTTAACAAGAAGACAACTTAAAAGTTTTTAAACATAACTAATGCCTATAATTTATCAAGATGTTTGCCAGAACATGCTTTCTTTTAACCTCCTCCAGCATCTGGTAACCCACTGGGTACTTCATAGAGTGAAACCACATCAAAGGGAGACTCGAATTATTCCTCTCTCATTTCACTTCCATTAAAAGCCAGCATTTTATTCATTCCCTGGAGTGCAGGATTCGATATATTCAGTCTTGAAATTTAAATCATAAAAACCACACACACACACACACACACACTAAAGTTTAACTGAGACAGTTGAGCCTATGCATTGCAGTTTGCTCTTACCACTCTTTCTAGTCAGTGCTTTAATAGTTAACATTCATCAAACAGGCAGGATTTCCTGAAGCCTTTTTCTACACAGGGTAGGCTGCACTAAAATGCATGTTACATTTCCTGGAAGTTAAACCCCTGTGTGGATATGATGTTGAAGTGTCTAGAGTTAATGAACATGAATAGTTTAGTATGAATAGGTTAGTTCCGGGGTGTCAAAGCAATGGTGTACAGGCTAGATCCAGCCCACAGAGGTGGGTCATTAGGCTCACAGGGCTTCTCGCCATCCAGATGACCCACTGCCAAAACGGGTCTACTGGGCTTCAGGTGGTAGGTACAGTGCTGGGCGTGAAACTGGTGGGGAGGACAAAGCAGCAGCCATGGAATTTGCACCAGAGTAAGTGGTAGGGTTTGCTCCTAAGGAAGCTGCTGTCCCAGGAGGAGGCATCAGGTTAACCCAGTTGTCTCTTTTGCCACAGAACGTAGACTTTCAAATTGCCACTCAGGACATAGTTCTGTTGCGACTGCCCTGTTAAACCTGCGGATGCTGACTATGCCAACACCTTCCTTTCCCCATGGTGGCTTGCTCTGGGTGAAACTCAACCCCCAGGAGCTGGTCCCTAGAGGCATAATTGGTAAACACCACCATACCAGGGACACCAACTGACAGCTATGGAGATGACAGCAGCAGTGTTAACCCTGGACGCTGGCTCATTATGAGAAACCCTGCAGTCCATATCCAGCCCACCAACTCAAATGAGTTTGAAAACCTCTGGCTTAGTTGGTATGAATTAAATATCCCAAGTTCCTTCATATAAACTCCAGCAAGACCATTTCAGGCTGGACATGAGGAAGAATTTCTTCACTGTCCAAGCCCCCAAGGTCTGAAATAGCCAGCCACCGGAGGTGGTTCATGCACCTATATTGAACGCCTTCAAGAGAAATTTGGATGTTCATCTTGCTGGGATCCTATGACCCCAGCTGACTTCCTGCCCCTTGGGCAGGGGACTGGACTCGATCTTCCAAGGTCCCTTCCAGCCCTAATGTCTATGAAATCTATAAAGACAGTCCCTGAGATGACTCCTGGTTCAGAAATGAAGCAACATGCGCGCGCGTACAGATACACATACACACTCTCTCTCTCCAGCTACTGCATTTATAAAAGCTGTGCTATCTTGTGGCCAAATGACTAGATTGGAGGAGGGCCAGGAAAATGAAACCACTCTCTAGACTCCCTATGACAACATCCGTGGCAAATTTATTTACTGTACTCTTCAGCTCACTCAGCCAATTTAAAATAAGCAAAACACAGCCCTACATGGCTTGCAGTTTAGAGACATACACCTGAAGCCCTACCTTGCCGTGTTGGAACCCTGATTAGAATTAGGTCCTTCAAATAAATAATAAAGAACACACCTGTGCTGGTGAGAAATCCCATTTCTAGCATTTGTGAAGTCTTCAAAGTTCCTGGACCTGGGTCAGCGATTCAAGTATTTTTGCCATTGCCACACAATGTCTTTGTGAGCAATAAGCCACCTTGCCTTCTACCACTGAATCAGTTCTGCATGGATATTAGCAAAAAGATATTTTCTCCTTCTAGCTTCTAATGTAGATGCAAGTTGGAACAATGCAGTTGCCTTCCCCTATGATGAGTACCAAACCAGGACACTAACACCCTTAACTTTAATAGCAACTGAGGACACTTTGATACTTGGAAGATGAAGCTTAGCATCCTTGGAAGTAAGCAACTGTAGCATAAGTGGAGTAGTGCTTTGAAAAGTGGATTATTTGCTTATCTGGTTTATGTACATCAAGCCATCTCTTTTGGTCACCTCTTAACACTCAGTAATTAGTACACCCTAGTTTAAAGGGTAACCTTGTACAACCATGGCAGACCTAGGCTTTAACAGTTGTATAAAATAGAGGCGGAAGCCATACCAGGGTTTTTCAGAGCCCAGAATTTATCCTGTAAGATTTCATATTAAAAATGGATTAGGAAATCATGCAAATTAGTATAACTCCACCTGTTTTTGCTAAGGCCCTGATCCAACACCCACTGACAGACAGAAAGACTGCATTCAATGGGCTTCAGACCAGACTTGTCATCTGAGCTTTTACTCCCTGCCATCCAGTATGTAGCCAATAGCAGCTACTTGATCATGAACACCAAGACTTATAAACTGGCTATTCCTGTTCTGCATCAAGTCCATGTGCTGCCACCCAGCTCCTCTATGCCCAAGGCCTATTAAGAAAAGTGACTTAAGAAAAGACAGCTCACAAAAGAGTGGTTGCAAAATGGCCATTTATTGCCTACAGAGGGAAATAAAAGTACACAGGTGCAAAGAAACAAGCAGATATTTAGCCCTATACATCATGTGTGAGCAGTACCCAATCTCCAGAACGGAAAAAAATACTGTCATCTGACAATAACAGTTCAGGATTTTCAGCACCTCCCTTTTGAGCTGCCACAAGGTTAAAAAAAGCAGGACACTTAGCACAGTTAGTCTTTATTCAGTACTGTCCACACTGTCTGTAAAAAGTAAAACCTCTCCCTTTTGCACGCATGTGCTGTACAGTATATATTGCGCAAAATCTCAGCTGAGCTGTGCAATTAGGAGTTTCCACCTCATTTACTGGTAAATTGTAACAAAACAGCTGGTGATTTTTGTCTGACAGTCTCTTGCTAGAAAAGTAGAATTATGGATGACAAATTAATGGACTGGTTCAGTGGAGTCAGTGACACTACAACTACATGGCACTTTAATCAGTTAAATTTATTTTTTTTAAATGAGCATTTTTTAAATTCTGAAATTTGAAGAGAAAATCCAAATGGTTTGAGGAAGGCCAATAGTTTTAAAATTCCTTTTGTGTGGTAAGTTGAATAGGCATTTTGCTCAGACCTAAAGTAAAGATGGCTTTGCTTTCTGACAACTAGATGAAGTTACTTACTAAAATAAAAGAGGATATATATGACCTCTGAACTGTACATGAAAATATGTCTTTCAAATTTAAAAGGTTAGAGTATTTTCTTATGAAAATGTAAGAAGAAATTGGCTGGACCTACTGTCAAACAGGCCCTCCTACAGAATTCCCTCAGTTGGCACTTATTTAATATTACACAATTAAGCAGGTTATATGCAATAAAGGTCCAACTCTAACTGTGGCTCTGTGAGGACCAGAAAGAGAAAAAAGCTTTAACCTAAATCCATGACTCTCCTGCAGTAGGGCAACTATACAGAAACTCAAAAAAAAAAAAAGGGGGGGGGGTATATTTTTCCCCAAATGGCTAGTGTTTAAGAAATCTGCAGCTCAACACTGACCATAGGCCTGACCTGCTTTCTACTTTTGTCAAGGCAAAGTTGCCATAGCTTTCAGTGGAAGCAGGATTGGCACTTAATTCAAAGTTTGTGTGTGCAATACTCGAGCTGTCCAAATGCAGACCTAAGTCTAGAGTCGGAAACTTTTCCAGAGCACAGGTAGAGTTTTCATAAAATGGAAACGAGGTACTTCAGCAGATTTGTAGAGAAAGGAAGAAAGAGGAAGGGAGAGAGACAGAGAGAGTTATACTACAGTTTTCAGAAGACAGAGGCAGGGTCTCCTGTACCTAGGAGTGAGATATTGCCATTGTGAACAAAAGCAAAGCCTGAGCTTTTATCACCACTGATCCAGTCAAATGTATGGGTTTAGTGAATTACAGGCAAGTTTAGCTAACATGGTGCACACAACACTTTAATTGCTTGGAAAAACCACACTACGCATTAATTAAAAATTGAAGCCAAAGCCAAAATAAACAACAACACTTGTAAAGAGAGTCACCATGATTCTTTGATTAAGAACAAAGACAAATACAGACAAATGCAAACTTGGCAAATTGTCTATATCTTGGAAACTGTTTAACAAAAACATGAGACCAAGTACCAGAATCACTATCCTTCCCCACTACAGCAGTAAAGGATTTTGCAAGCTTAAAAAAAAGGAAAAAAACCCATGCTGTACTATTTGCAAAACAAAAAAAGACAAGAGTCATATCACTTGGCGTGTTTTGCCATCAGAATTGTTCCAATTTGAAGTACAAACATACATTCCTCAACCTCAAGCTTATTTCAGAACATACTCCAAGAATATACATCCCTAAAGTGTGCCATCCTTAGACCAAACCAATCTTAAGTGTAATTTAGGTACCATGTTTTATTATCCATTAGAGTCATATTATGCTGTAACTTGTTTTAAACAAGAGCTTATTTTAAAAGGTCGCAATTTTATTGCCATTTTTCCAGTTGCTTTCAATACCTCACCCACAGCCTCTTCAGTTTCATCACTCTCTTTTCCTTACCCTGGTTCTCTGAAACAAAATCAAGTATTATCCATCTCGGTGCCAGACGTAGGTTCAGCTTTTTTAAAATTTTTGTCCCCAATCAGTTGTAGCAGTGTCTGTATCTACATGTGCAAATCCGATTTTCATTTGTTTATAATTTGTAGAAGTTAATTCTAGGCTGACACCTGGCATAAGAAGATTTGATAAATGGGTTTTTTATTTTATTTTATTGTTTTAGTAAGAGTTTTCTCTGTACTTTTTTGAAAGAGTG